AAAAAAAAACAGTAACAAAAGTAGAGAACATCCCAAATGAGTGTACCTGAACGATGTTTCTCGACGGCGCTCTCCTTCACCAAATACGTGTTCCGGAATGCTCACATACTTAAGTATCAAGCAACCTGAACGTAGTATTTGGAAACTTCACATAGGAAGGTCAAACTACACGTGAAGTTTATGTTCTCTTTATGGGTTTGGATTCTATTTATAACACGCGAAGAAATTTTTTTTTTGAATGTGATCAGGTTTGCATTCATTCGATTTCCCAAAATGGGGTGTGATATTAAAGCGCTTGGCCTGTAGATGTGTACTAAGGTTTAATTTTTTTTAAGTGTTGCCACCTGTTAAAAATTTGAATTAAAATTATTTAATAAGTTAAATCAGTTATTGAAGTATGGGTATAACTATAAATTGGTTTGAAAAGGCTCCATTTCTAATAAATATGTAGGAGTGTTGCCACCCGTTTCAAACGTCATATTCAACTAAAATTAAAATATGGATAACAAAATCGATTAAAATATCGATAACAACCCCAATAAAAATATCGATTGTTATACCGATAAGTCCCAAGAATCCCGAAAATCTCTATATTGTATTGGCAACCCTATTAAAAATATTACCTCTTGATAAAAGTGCACTGAAATGCCTTTCGTTCGATAAAAGCGTTGCAAAATTTTACGCCACTTAAATATTTTATTCACTTTATTTTTAGACAGATGGCAACCCTATGTAAAAATTTGCATCTTTTTCTGGAAGCGGTAAAGCTGGCCTTCAAAATTGTGTTTCAATATTTAAAATTTATATAGTATGAGGGTAGATAAAAAACGTATTGAAATACATAAAAGTAAATATATTTTATGTGCACGAGACATATAATATTTCTTATATGTATATAAATTATGCTCTCAAACGAGATCTTCCTAAAATACTTGAAAACTTCACATGAAGGAACCTTTTACTTGCGGAAGTTTTACAACGTAGTGCTCCCCTTTTATGTTCCTCTCTTTTTCGGAACCTTTTTTTGTCGAGTACTTAGTTACTTGACGCTTAGCGACTATACTTCTCTTCACTATCCGCGCTCTCAGTGAGAGGAAGAGTTAAGCGTATTCGCTAGAAAACTTCAATGTGAAGCCAAATATCTTCCGATGCAGACCTCTAATATATATGTATGTATGTACATATTTACAACTCACAAGTGCATAGTTCTCATCCCTCAATCCTTTTAAAATTTCTTTGATGTATTTTACAACATTCGTCGGCAAAAACACAAAGCAATTACCATGAAGATAGCATTCATATGGTAATTGCGGCTAATTTGAGAAATTGCCGTCGGCAACGATGCGTAAAATATGAAAAGCATAAATAAGCAAATAACCTTTGACAACAAAAGCGGCAATATTTTTATTTGTATGTAAGTGTAAATATTTATGGATATCTGTATTTGAGGGTCGATGAACTTTTGAGATAACGGCCAAACTAGCAGCTTAAGAGCCTTGTTAACACTTCATTGCCAGCGTAGGGGTCAATTTGGCAAAAATTGGCTTAAATAGAGGTAAAGTTAGACAGCCGATTACGCATATTTATTTTCTCTTGTATATCCGTATGTATGTATGTATGTTAGACTCCTTCACGTTTTATGTAAGGAAAAATGATTTTGAGCTACAGAGCAACCTTTTTCTATTCGCTAATTAATTTAATAACAAAATTTAGAAATGTAAAAAATGAACTATCAAATATAATACGTTTTGACCAACACTATAGAGCATTGAGTCCGAAACAGACACTGGAGTCTTTCTTGCTTGGAGAATATGTCCCCGTATTCTAGAGCGAGGTATTTGCAATCATCAAGGCCATATGGCCCTCTGTATATGCCTTTATGTAGGCCAGAATTGTTGAAATTTAATTTGCACCGAAAATAATTCAAATTAGTTGCAACAGCCGCAGCTGCGGGGAAGGTCAAGTATTTACATAGAACATTTGTTTTAATGTGCAGCTAAAATACAATACGTAATTTTAATATAAACTAAATTTTACTTTTGATTTCGATTTTTTTGTGGTTTTAACTAATCACCCTGTTTTCTGATTAAAAGCTCACCACATATTGAAAAGTTGTATCAAATAATTTTTTTGTTAAATATCTTTAGTTATTTTCCAAGTTTCAAACTTTGTGCAATATTTGAAAAAAAAATCAACAAAATTTCAAGCTTGTAGTTAGTTTTCTTCAAATTTTTTATAGCCAATTCAATTTTAGTATCATTAAGTACAAGTTTAAAGTAGCTAGGACTTACCGTTGAATTATGCCAATTTATTTCCTGACGGTATTGTGCATTTTCTTTCATATAAAGAGTGTTCGACGATTTTTTTTATATGGAAAAAATTAGCAGCACCTTAAAACCACAAAGTTGCATACTCAAAAGCGTGCTAAGAAATATAATTAAAGAGCTCGAAATTTTCGCTTATGTTTGTTTATTTGTTTCTCTGAATGCCGCACAAAGTTCAAACTTGCATTTATTTACAAAAAAAAAAATTTATCAAAAACTAATTTTTTGTTGAAACTTATCAATATGTGCCGCGCTTTTATTACGACAGGGAGTGTATGTTTCATTAAAATAAATCGGAAAAATTTAAAACCTTTCGCTAATTGTAGATAATAATGCGTAACTATTACATACACTAAAATTTATAGAAAATAATGAAATAAACCAACAACCAAAAACCACACCCTGTATAAACCCTTTCTT